GGCATTACAGAGAATTGTAAACGTCTTTCATTTTTGTATTCAAGCAATCTTATGAGCCAGATTAAATAAATACAATTTTAAGTAAATAATTTAACGAAATTGGTTTGTTCAGATAACATTTCAGATAAGGAGAAGTACAATAACAACCAAGGCACAAAATGTTGAGATTTTTGTGTCGTAGGTCAAAATGGTTTCGATTTCACAGCATCCATAGTCACGTCGTCTGGTTACCAAAACAAGGCGGACAGGTAGGTGCAATCGATTATCACAAATCGCAATGCTCGTTTTCATCGCATCACTAGCTCGACGACGCGTGTGTGTGGTGTTCGTTCTAAGCGCATTGAACGTTGCGGTTTACGTTGACACAACACAGGTGGCGGCATGTGGAAGTGATTGTGTCGGAAGATCTCCGACATCAGTGTTAAGCAATCGAGAATATGCGCACGTGCTACCCGAAACCACCTGTACTATATACGTGTATCATGTTTATAAGATACATACCTTGTCGATCTATAGGTACAGTTGGTTCCAACGAACTTGATGAGTGTACCATAAACGCGGGTTCTCATGTACGTTTCTAAGGGGACGCACTGAGCGACTATTTTTCACAGCAGCACAGGCTGCAAACAAATAACGGTAACCGACCTTCGCGAAACTAAAGCTATTTGTATAGTAGATATTAATGAGGTTTGCTTCATTTGCCCTCACTATCTGCTGCAGTGACTACCCTATTGAAAATAACCCATCAGCCTTGATGTGTTATGGGACCCTGTTAGACCTTCAAACCCTTTAGACCCGTCAACCCTTTAGACCCGTCAGCCCTTTAGACCCGTCAGCCCTTTAGACCCGTCAACCCTTTAGACCCGTCAACCCTTTAGACCCGTCAACCCTTTAGACCCGTTAACCCTTTAGACCTATCAACCCTTTAGACCCATTAGCCCCTCAGAAATTGAATTCTCTATACTCCGTTTCATAATTAGTGTACAACACTGTCAAGGCAACTGACACGCGCAAATGGCTTCATCAAGTCCAAACGCGTGCACAAAGCTCATGATAAAGTCACATGCTCCTGCCAGTAGCCTCGACAGCATTGCGTACGAAGTATGAAATGGAGTACAGGTGTTCACAAACTTACAGCTTTAAAAAAGCTGCATGGCAGGCCCAGATGGTTGCAAACAATTGACCAAGACAAGATTTCAACGTAGGATGAAAGCAAATTTTTATTTGAATGTTATACACAGAACAAACATTTGTACTTAAGTTGTAGGTCACAGTATACATAAAACGTGATCTATGCATGCTGCAATGGGAAAGCATTATTTAGCACAGTAGAGTTTACTAAAACAATGGATATCACACTGTCCACTTTTTACGATGGCACCATCTCTTTAAAAACCATAAAAAAATAGTTTGTCATTCTGGAATCTCACTAAAAAACAAGTTCACATACAAAGTACAAAACACTAAATTATCCTCAATCAATCAATTATTTCCAATCAATCAATAACAACCAAGCTTTGTTAAAATATTCATGACTGCTTTATCACATAAATTAATTACTATTAAAGGGACACTGAAGTGATTATCACAGAAGTTTGGGCTATTTGGTATACAGATATAATTAAACACAAAACAGTGCAAAGACAAGGACAAAGTGAAAATAGTCACCGACAAGACACAACACTGACTCTCATCTAAAGATTTATGTTAGCATTCAGTACCAATAGCATACATGCAATACCAAATAAATGAAGGAAAAAAATAAATACATATCACGTGTTCAATACAAGATTGTTACTGGTTTGCCCTCCTCGCTCCAAGTATTGCCGCTCTTTATCAGAAAGCACGAGCGACGGGGCGCTAGCACAATCTGGTCCCAGTTTCACGATATCACGAGCTTCTATTATTTCACGCATGACACTGTCTTTATTTTTAAAAACCACTTGGTATTTGTCGAAGACAGGGACGCAACTGCAATCTCTGCAGTGCACCCCTAGGTGACCCGACACCACTTTAAAATGTTATACTGGTGTTCTCCGAGTCAATCGTTGACACATCTTCCTGTTTGACCAAAATAACGACGCCGCAAGATAATGGAATGGAATAGGCCACTCCCTGACACAAGCCACGAATTGATATTGGTGTTTTTAGTGCATCCAATCTTACTTGTAACATCTGAATTAACATTTCTGCAGAGCCCAGCCGGCTTATTTGGTGCTGTTAATGTCAAAGTTGTGTTCTCAGCACCAAAAGAGCAGCCCGGCTCTGCAGAAAAGTCAATTCAGATGTTAAAAATAAGATTGGATGCACTAAAAAAACACAAAATCAATTTGTAACTTGTGTGCAGGGAGTGGTCTATTCTATTATCTTGTGACCCCTGTTAAGTCGGTCAAACAAGATGTGTCAAATATAACATATTAAAGTTGTGTCGGGTCGCCTAGGGGTGCACTCCAGAGATGGCAGTTGCACCGTCTTTGAAAAATACCAAGTGCTTCCTAAAATCAAGACAAGCGAAGTGGTCGACGAAGGGTGCTTGTTACCGAATCGCAAGCGATGCCTTCGCCGAAAAAGCCTAGTCTTATCCGAACGTGTGCCATAAGACTTTTTTCAAAACAAGTCATAATAAAATTGTTTGGAATCTATACGTATTGTAGGACCTTCATTGATCTAGACCAGGGGTGGCCAAGCTGCGGCTCGTGAGCCGCATGCGGCCCTTCGCGTGTTAAAGTGTGGCTCGCGGCTCCCTTCCCTCCCCGTACCCCCCCTCCCACTTTCCCGCCTCTTTTCCGGTCCACCAGCACTTCCCCAAAAAGAGAAATTGAAATCGGTTTAAATCGAAAGACAGGTTGCGGTTTGGTAGTGTTGTGCCACTGCTACCCAACGTACAGTTGGACTGCTTTTGACTCGGATAGATTGAAAATAGTTTGAGTTCCCCCCCCCCCCCCTCTCCACCCCGTGGCTCTTGGAAGTTTCGTGGTTTTGTTTGTGGCTCTCAGGCCGGGTCAGCCTGGCCACCCCTGATCTAGACCATGTAGTCCGAGAGAAACATCAGTCCACATGTTCTATTGCCCCAAGAGAAATAAGCAGTTTTGTAATCTAGAAATTAATATGTGTATTAAAACCTTTTAAACAATGTAACATACAAAAAATATTTTTTTCTAAAAACCACTTCGGTGCCCCTTTAAGTATATTGATTGCACTCTTCCCTAAAATACTGGCAGGCTTTGTTACTTAATTGGCAGGCCGTGTCCACATCACAGCTCCAGCTCTTGTTTGCAAATCACATGTCCCAACCTGTGACCCTGGGTGAACAGATGAAATTAATACAGTGAAAACGATTGACTATAAAAATATTGCAAAAGGTCCGAGCTCACACTGAGCACAAACGTCACCACTCGAGATGTGCAGACCTTTTTGAGTCCAAGCCCGACTACTTCTTTCTTCCGAGCAATCACAATAGATTTTTAAAGAAAAAAAAACACTTGTCACTTTTCGATCATTAACACTAATTAAAACAACAGTAGTAGAAACCAGCCAGTTTGCCGGCCATTGTCAGAACCCCAAAATTCCCCCACCCCCTGGGTGCAGCCCTGCTCTGAGGAGTCGTAGCAATACGTCTCGTGGCTCAGACAGAGCAGTACACCATGCCGTCTCAGACCTGGCAGAGCATAGCTTTTACTGCAGATTATTATAGGTGAGGGGAAAAGTATTGAGTATTCAGCACCTGGATGTACGCGGCGGCGCTGCGGTCGCGGATGTTCGCGGCGGCGCTGCGGTCGTTTACGAACTGGAGAATCCGACCGGCTCCGAGCGTTCCGAAGGCCTTCGGCGAGCTGCTTTGTTTTGCGGTTTGACCGTTTCGCGGTATGGCAGCGCGAAGTGGCTCCCATTTGAACAGATCTTTACCCCGTCTTTGCTGTCGTTTGTGGCCAATGAAGTGTCATGCCGAATTAGTGTTTAATCGCGCAGCAAATGCAATGAGAGCCGTTCTGGCTGCCTGCTGCATACAGCCTATCCAGAATATGCTCTAGTGGCGCCCTCTCGCGCCGGCGACACGGAGTGGGGCAGCCGTGAGCGCTCGCCATGAGCCCACTACCCCTCCCCTAGTTCACGGCCAGTCAAGCAACCAAGGACGTCATGAGAGAGGTTATTTTTTGCTTGTTTTTGTAATTTTAATTTGCCTATAACTTTTAAACTAAAGCGAATTTCGAGAAAAGAAAAGTTGCACTACGTTACTACGTTCAGTGCGCTCAGGTTCGGTGCAAATTAAAAACCAGTAAAAAGTCCTTGCAGGGCCCCTTTAATTGAATGTCATTTCACCGCTTGTTAAATCACCTTGTGATCCTGGTTCTGCATGTCGTGTGTGCATGCGCAGCGTGCCATATTAAAGATGCGGATTGGCCAAGCTGTAATATGTCATTTTGCCTAAATGTCATTTAACGTGCCGTCTGAAAGGGGAATTAGCTTTCTTTTGTTTAGCAACTTGGCTTGGGTCGTTCTGTCGTGGAACTCAGCCATGGGACGAGCTGTAAGAGCATCGTCCAGTAATGTCGCAAACGCACATGTCAAAGCAAGTCGTTTTAGCTCTACTGCTAAAATTCCCATTGATTTGCCATCTTGCTGGAAACAAGGGTTACATTTTAACCTTTCTGTGATGACTGTCATCATGCCAGGGGCCTAGCTCCCAAAATGGCTGCTCTATATTCATCCGTGTTGGTGTTTTTACCACCTTCATGCCCAATTACAGAAACCTAAAAAAAATGTGAAGTTATGTACGACATAATGCAGAGGTAGTCTGCATGGTGTTTATTTGTGCTTAATGTAAAATAGGACGGCAGATCTATCTAACGAGGCAGAATATCACTTTTCACAAGACTGCGACCACGGCTCTGCTATTGAGTGACACCTTCCGCGGAGCATCGAAGCCGCCCAGCATAACAAAAACGAAGGGAATGACGATGAATCAAAAATGGCCCTATAATCTCAGATTTACATCGAGCACTGGTTGTGATAGTGTGTAATCATTCATTGTCTCACAACATTTGCATCTTTCTTCTTTCTAGGCACTCTGAAGTACCCCTACAGTTCCAGTGTGACGGAAAGGACGCACAGAGGTGTGCTGCAGGACGTGAAAGCGGCTGTGATGACAGGCACCACGAAGCACGGCATGTACGGACCGAGCCCCATTGCAAGACTTCAAGGTTTTGATTTGGTTTGGGGCATAGTGCCCGATTACATGCATTGTGTACTTGAAGGTGTTGCGAAACAACTGACAGAGTTGTGGTTTACAAGCACAGGCGCACCTTTTTACATCGGAAACCAGATGGCTGCTGTAGACCGTAGACTGGCAATGATCCGTCCCCCAAATCTTTTCGCTAGAGCCACACGATCGGTTAGAGAAAGAGCTCTATGGAAGGCCAAAGAGTGGAGGTACTGGATGGTGTACTATGCTATGCCTTGCCTTCATAGCATACTGCCACACCACTACCTTGCACACTTCACACATTTGTGTCAGGCAGTGTTTCTGCTGTTACAGAAAAGCGTCCACAGGGATGACATCCAAGCTGCTGAAGGGCTTTTGGCACGTTTTCTCCAACAAGTGTCTGCCCTTTATGGTCAAGGTGCAGAAACCTCTAACATGCATCTACTTATGCATTTGCCCAAAAGTGTTATGCAGCTTGGCCCTCTGTGGGCTTCATCCATGTTCCCATTCGAAAGTGCAAATGGGGCACTTCTGCGCCTTGTAACCGCTGCTAAAGGCGTTCCTCTTCAGGTTGCTGAGAGGTGGGCTATGAAGCACGCACTGGCACGATTTGGTGAAATGACCAATCTCCCAGCTAACTTTGACCAACTTTTTCGCATGTTTCTCAACATTCAGAATGATTCCGAGGACGGTGTCCTGGGCGTTCCGCAGGAAGTGTCGTTAACAGCTGCTGTGCATAGCCTTCTTGAATGCCATTTTGGCCAGGTACCTACTCTTGAAAGACATCTAAGAACAAGAGTAGTGGGGTTCGAAATCCACAGTCGTGAGTACACGCGCCCTAAGAAGACATGCACACAATTTGTAAAAATGCGAGATGGTACGTATTGTGAAATTCAGGCTATCTACAAGACTGTAAGGACTGGTGAAATTTTTTTAGTCTGTAAGAGCCTGATTCTTGAAGATTTTGGAACTGGTAGCGTGAAGTACCTATATAAGTGTATTGTGCCCCCTAATGAGGAGAATTTAGTTCTCTTCTCCTCTGACCAGATTGAGTGCATCTGTGTTTTCATTGAACTTGAAGATGAATCTTATTTGTGCGACATGCCCAACTTTTATGAGAAAGAATAATTTTGGGGGAAAGGGGGAAGGGCTTGGAATTCATTTGTGCTTGCTACTGTAAAGGCTGGAAGCCTCGGAGGGACAGCCGGCATTTCACTGAGACTTGGCTTCATCACAAGCCGTGCCCGTGCCACACGGGCAACTCTAACGCCATTTACAACGAATGACATTTGAGCGGACGGCCAATCAGCGCGCGACACTCCGGGCATGGCACATTCCACGCGCGACAGATTGCGAGCTGATTCGCCGATCACACAAATGTCATTCGTTGTGAATGGCATTCGAGTTGCCCGTGTGGCACGGGTATAAGCCTGTCGGTGAAATGGGGGCCAGTCTAAAGCTTTCAGGTGGTTGCTTTCTGAATTCTTGCTACTGGCTTTGACCATGCTTATGCTCTGTGTGAACTCCATGCTGCACTTTAATAAGTGAGCAGCGTTCAGTGTTTCTGCTAGCATTGTACCAGCGTGCTCTTATATTGCTACGGTTCTTGAGTTTCCTTGAAGTTTTTCAGTGAATGTGTCGGTGCATTTCATGTACCTTGATTTTGTTAAACTTGTCAAATAAAACTGACTGACATATGCACACACATTGATTCAGACTTGTGCCTATTACTTCAAATATGTAGTGAATTACTAATTTACATTAAAAGTAAATTGTTACAATTCCTGGTTGTAAACAATAATTGATTACTTACATTGTTACTTGACTGGATTAGTTTTTGTTACTTTAAGATAGACACACAAAGCCATAATTTTTGCTTAGTATTTTAAGCACTAAAGATGTTGAATTAGAAGTTGCATACAAATACGACTGGCAGGCTACAGTTTGTCTTATTTTAACAAACTTCTGTGAGTTGCTTGTAATTGTTTGACGGGTGTGTTTGAAGGCCCCACAGACATTTAAAGAAACCTCTTAGAACTTTCTAAAGGGCATTTCAAACCCTTTAAGAAAGATTCTGACGTGGCCCAGAACGCATCAAGGAATCTTAAAGGGTCCTTCAAACCTTTTAAGAAATCTTTGTGGTCCCCCTTAGACCTTTCAAAAGGTTTTGACGGGCCCATTAGACTTTCTTAAAGGGTACGTCACACCCATCAAAACGTTTTGATGGGCCCTTTAGACTCCCTTAAAGGGTACTTCAAACCTGTTAAAAATTCTTGAAGGCCCCCTCAAACCCTTTAAAAAGTTTTGAAAGACCCTTTAGACTTATTTTCAATAGGGATATATAACTTATTCCCAGTTCTTCAGAAAAATACTAATCTATTCTTTACCTGAAGAGGTTCATTACTCGTGCATGACTATTGGGCGCCTATCACACAGAATGCTCCACTGAAGACGTGTTTCCAGAGTGGAAATAAAATCAGTGATCAGTTCAGTCAACCGTGAATCGTGACCGAAATATGCGGAAGGAGTACACACTGCACCCCAGGCACGTATCCAGGGGGGAGGCCCATGGGGCCCGGGCCCCCCCGAAATCTTGCATTTTGCTGGGACCTCCTCTCCCCCCTCCCCCTCATACAGCATTTTGTCATGGGCGCCCCGTCCCCCCCCCCCCCCCCCAAAACAAAATCCTGGCTACGTGCCTGCTGCACTCAGAGCTCTGACACTTGGAAACGCACAGGCTATACCATAGAGCTTTACCGTACAACTTTGCTTTTTGAGAACCTGCCGTCAGTTTGGCCATCACTTTGAGCAGGAATCAAGAAATGGGCCCGATGGGTTTACGCGACCGCAAGCCTCAATGTTAGATCGTAGGATCACCAAGATCCCCCACACACTACGGGCAACCTTGTATGTATTAATGTATACCGCTAAAAATAAACCAAAAACTGATCGAATATCGGTTTGTATCATAGTTTAGAGTCTTTAAACACTCACAACGCTCACAAAACCAAAATGAACAACGCCATGTTGGCTAGATAGCGATGGAACTGCTGAACCTTCGAGACAAACGAAATTTCGTCCAAAAAGTTTCGGAATCTTCTGAAACAGTCGGAAACCAAACCTCCGGAGTTTGGCCCCATCACTACTTATGACAGACCTGACTTTGCAGTCGGCGGGCCGTTATATTCACTTAAACAGGATTAATGCAAAACAAGAACCACAAAAAATAGGCTCAGATTCACTTAATTACATATGGGCGTAACTAGCAGATCTGGGAACAGTACTGCACAAGCGCTTCTTGGAAGTGAATATTCTCGCGGGACTCATGCTCGAACGGATCTTCTTTTTGAATGCACCTATTAACTAAAAAACTATAAGGTGCCCCAACGGAACGTACCGCAGTAGTACCTTCTGAAATGTCTGTGTGTCTATACTTCCCCAGAGCTCTCAAGGTGGTAAGCACTGCGTGTTACGGAGAGAGCTGAGTCAATGGCGAGGCAAACATCCGAAGGAAATGCGTTAGAATTGGGTCTTTCTCACTCCCTTTTCACTTCTTTCCATTCGCTTAGGACCCCTAGCTATTCGGTTATCACAGCTTTCCATCGTTTATTAATGCCTTTCCTCTGCTTTCCGTTGCACGCTTCCGCCGTCTTGCCTCTGTGGCAGCAGTCAAACGACGCTTCCGCTCTTCCTCTGTCTCAGCCTGACGTCGCCGACGCGTGGCCTCGGTTTTCTTCTGTCGTCGCTCTTGGATACGGCCAGCTATATCACTCGTGGAAAGAACCACATCGATAGCCGGAGCGGTAGCTTTCCAAAGCGGCGCGGCGCCTGCCAACACCTCCTTATAACAAAGCCGTAATGCTCATAGAGATGTCGCCATCAGCGAAGGCCAACGCTGGTCACAGATTAGACACGACGACTGCGTCAACGTTCGGCTCAAGCTTGACTCGAAACCGAACGCTAACGCAGCACTCGTTTCCCATCTGTGTCCAGAGTTGGCCTTCGCTGGTGACGCAAAAATGTCAGCACTACGGCCTTGTCTTCTAAGCAGTGTTGCGCCTGCTCGCCTCTGGCTCCGCGCCAGCTGTGTGATGCTCGTATTGGCCCGAAGCGCTGATGTCAGCACGCGTCACCCTCCCCGTCTCTCCCCGCCGCCGTGGTGTGATCTGTAAACACGATACCTCCTCACCACATCACTCTCCTCGCGACGTCATGCATGGCGCTGACAAACTGACGCACGGACTGAAATTGGCGGGTTTTCATGAAAACGAGAGTTCTAATGCTAACGTATTAAACTTGTTTGGACGTGATAAGTAAGTCTATCATGGGACACTATAAGCCAGGGTCACACTGTTTATACCATCATACAAAAGACAGTCTGCAAGCAGACTCGAAGGCGAGTCACCGCGAGATCCGTGCTTCGAATGCCGCATGTCAATGAGTTCAAGAAGAAACTGTGGCGCGCAGCATTTGAACCACGGATATTGCGGTGACTCGTGCTTGGAGGCTGTCCTTTGTATGATATATGAGCAGTGTGACCCCGGCTTAAGGTTCAGTGTACCATCACGGGTTTTATTTTTAGTTCGAAACATATTTTGGGCCTCTGAATTCACTGCGGTTGGCTCTTCGAGTGCTCTGCGGGAAAGCAGATATATGGGCATTCTCCAGAAGGTTTCGTCACCGACAGGTTAAAGGGCAACTCCGGTCAATATTTTCGACCGGCGTTTTGACCGGAATATCATTTCAGGAACTCTACCTTAGCTGTTTTCACCTAAGGCAGAGTCCCTGAATTACAAGATAGAATGTTTTCTTTTTTTTCGATATTGTGTGTAGTACTATAAATAGCACGGCTCAAAGTTTAGTTTCGGCGCCTACGGCAAAACCGAAACTATCTGCTGGAGGGATGGCAACACTGATCATCAGCCGCACGGCCGCGACGTGACGTCATCGTGGTGCTGCGGTACGTGGTGCAACCTATGAACCGCAGCGCCACCGCGTTGTGATGTCAGGAGGGTGCTGCGCCAGTATTGCTTGACTAAAAGCTAACCCGCTTACCGCCCGCTAAAGAGCAGCTGATCGCATCTTTAGAATCGGTTTCAATTCGACGTAATATTTCGGCTGTGATCTTACTTCGTGCCACTAAAGGTCTACCAGTCATTTATTTTGGTTTCGTCTTTGACCGGAGTTGGCCTTTAAGAGATGCGCGGATTGTTCGGAGCATCTTATTATCGCTCTACAGCCAATGGGATTGCAAGAATGGCCTATAAGAACGCGCAAGGACAAATCACGAAGCAGGAAGCTTGAACTTAAAATAAACGACGCCCAGCGTGGCTTATTATGCATAGTATGAATTACTTAATTACGTAATTAAATATTGGTATGCATTAGCTCAGTATGAATAGCTGTAGTTGACTATAGCTTTGATTTCGAGTACAACCTCGATCATTCCGGCAATAGTAAATAAGGAGATGTTCTTAATCACTAGTACTCTCATACGTCGGGTTTTCTTTTAGAGTCTAAGGGAACTTGTTTTGGTGAGCTCTGATTTTCGATGTGTTAGATCAAACATTTGACTTAATGCATTACAATAATAGAAAAAAAAACGAAAAAAAAAACAGCGTCTGGTGAGTTCATCGAAAGATGCTGTCTTCTTCGACTCTATTTTTTAACACACGACGAAACGCGCTCCAACCTTCTGAATTAACGTCGATAAAAACAGTCCCTGGCAGCCCTCCAAAGATCGAGGATGACGAGAAGAAAAATGACAGTGTGGCTCAGAGAATATTGCTCACTTACCAACTGAATTGAAGATGCGAGACGTCAGTACTTTATTAGTTTTGCGATGACGGTCCGGCACTACGACGTCTTCCACTCGAGCTGCGATCGTTTTTGTTTCGTTTACTACGAGCGCGCCACTCTTGGAAATAAAATTAGACGCGGACGTGTGCGAGCGTGGGTGACATTTTTGTTCGTGGGTTTTGACAGTCGGAGTGAGAGGAAGAAGTTGGTGTGGGAGCTGGGGTCTTCCACGGACAAGGCCAAATATCGTCGGACACCTCGGGAGAACAAGAAGATAGATGTCATGGCGGCACTTAGATGTTGTCGACAAGCCTGAAGGAAATGGGCGGCGAAGCGCCATGCTTTCTCATCCGGGCAAATAGAAAATTGACACTTGAGGAGGAAGTCAGCGCTCCAAAGTGGAGATGTTCAGTGGGACGCTTCCAAGCTTTTCACGGTGCATGCGACGTTGTTTGTCAACGGCTGCGGACGCCGAACACAAGCAACGGAATAGGCGAAGCGTGCGGCGCGAGGCGCAT